TTCTTCCAGCACTTGTGTGACCGCGCATTGAGGTAATCTCATGCTAAAACCCTCCAATGTAACAAGATTAAATCAACCAGTAACCAAAACAATTCAGGCAGTAAAGCGGTCAGAGAATGAAGAGTTGAACATGGGAATAGATCATGCCTCTAGAAAGCTTTGGGGTCTAAAGTCCTGGAAAGAAATATGTCAGGTATCAGATGATTCTTCCAGCACTTGTGTGACCGCGCATTGAGGTAATCTCATGCTAAAACCCTCCAATGTAACAAGATTAAATCAACCAGTAACCAAAACAATTCAGGCAGTAAAGCGGTCAGAGAATGAAGAGTTGAACATGGGAATAGATCATGCCTAGAAAGCAGATTTGGAGAACCTCTGTAGTGCCATTATACTGACTGGCTGTAAAATTCACTCTTTGGACAGAGTCATGGATCATCAAAAAGAATTACAGCATATAACTGTCTTTATGGCCACAAAACAAGGGGGTGGTGGACTCTGTTAAGCCCCATATGGTGCATTTATTATTACAGAAAAGTCCCTCTGGAGAAACCTAGTGTTAAACATCTTGTTCAGTGCATCCCTCCTTTAAAGAGCATGTCATATGGTATTTTAAAGTATCCTAATATTGTGTTGGAGTCCCCTACAACAGGTTCAAATGCATCTAAGATCAGAAAACATTGTCATTTTCTCAGAATATATATTTAATATTAGAATCATTTTTCAATGATTTCGAAACAATTCGTTCGAAGCAGTTCTGGGTAGGGATGTTCATTTTGGTTATTTTTCCTAATCGACAACCAACGCTCATTAACCGATTATTAACCGTTAACCGACAAGATTATTTTAAATTAGAATTGAATTAAAAGGATAAGTGTCTGTGACCCGTTAAAAATACTAGCATTTGTTTCTCGGGGATTAATTTTACATGCGCAAAAAGCAGCAAACAACAGAACATGAGGATTCACATTGTCATCATATCACATCACGCACCTGCAGCGCTTCTGCGAGCGGAGAAAAACATAATAAAACTAGGCTATATATAGTCTATATATATATAACTAATAAATAGGCCTATACGAGAAATATATTTTTACTTAAAAAATAAATTAAGAAAATGAAAGAAAAACTGTGCAACAAGTAGCCTTGTATGCAGAGTTTCGGTTCATTTTTGTGCTGCGCAAAAGGAAACCAGACGGCAGAAAGCGACATCATATTTTTCTTTAGGCTTATTTTACAAAAGCACAAAGATTTGTTTTTATTGTGAATGTACACAAAGGCAAACCTTTTACAGTTCCGATTATCTTTAGGACTAAAAGGAGTAGTTGCTTCTACTGTTAGAAGGAAAAAATTCAAGTGATTGTGCCGGCGCCGCATGTGCGCACTCTGTTTAGCATTGCTACCTTGACAATGCACCAACATTGGTTTCAGTTTCGTTTTAGCCTAAATCAATTCATTTTGGCTTGTTGTTTATATTGCTATAGCTTCTTATATTTTTAATTCTTGTTCTTTTCTAAATAGCCTACTGTTAATCGAAAGGCTTTGTTGTGGAGTGAGGGGAACTAAAATAGCCTAGCTATGTTTACAGTGTTTATTATAATGTTTGTTAGGGCTGTGCAATTAATCGCACGCAATTAAAAGGCGGTCCCGTGATTAGTAGTAAATCTCCATCACCTGCTTTCAGATTGAGCGGCATTCA